GTTTTAAAATGCTATTAAAATATTTGTTAGGAAAATTATTATAATATCCCCCACGCTCCTTCAAATCTCATAGCTAGTAATAGACATAAAATCTCATGTTTTTGCATATTTTAGAAACAGCTCTACTTCAATTTTTGGGTCACCATTATGTTGATTATGCTCTTACAATATAATTTCTTCATTAAATCTATAATTTAGTATTTCTCAACCACAAAAAATTATTTAAATGAAATTGAAAAAATTAAACTACAGATTGATAGTAACTTTCAAACACAAATTTGAGCTAAAACTTAAAAGGGATTGGTCTGTATCCTTGTTTTCTTGTTTTTGTTTTAACTTTCATTTTTTATTCAAATAAATTCGAACAATGAACAATCTAAGAAAAATGATTAGTTCAAGCTTTTACTTGATGGGCTATCAAATCAAAAAAAAAAAACTTATGAAACTCTATCAATGATATTAATTCATGTCATTGATCACAACAAAATTCGTCATCTTTCAATTAAAAATCTTAGCATATAATTCAAAAAAAAAGATGATTAAAATTTTATTTCTACCTGAGTATAATTGTGTTGATAGATAGATAGATAGATAGATATATGCCTAGTAGATTATGCCCAAAAGATACATGGATTAAATATTTAAATAAAAGAGGGTGTTTATAACGAAAACAGTTAAAAGACATGAATCTCATCAAAGTAAATTAAAGAGCCCAAGATATTGAATGTGGAGGAAAAAATGAAAAAGTTGGATGAAATGAAGTGCGTTGGATCTAACCAAGCTTTGGGTCAATCCCTATATAATCCAAAGATGCGTCCTATTTTTGTCCATCCCAAAAGTGGCCTAGAAGTGTGGAAATGTTTTTTATACAACAACAACAAAACCTTTATCCCACTAAGTGAGGTCGGCTACATGAATCCTTTTTTCTCTATTGCGTCCTATTTAGTGTCATATTTTCATTTAATGATATTAAATTAAGATAATTTTTTTTATAGAATAAGCCCAAGTCATCCTAGTTATATCTCTGCCTTTCTTACCACTGCCTTTATTAACATAAGTTGAATCTAAAACATCTACTCTTCTAATCGGATCATCAAATGGTTAGCGTTTAATGTGACCAAACCATCTAAGACGACTCCCTCTAATTTTGTCTGTCACTGGAGTTGCACCAACCCTATCACGGATATATTCATTTCGCATTTTGTCTCTAAGTGTAAAGCCACTCATCCACCTAATAATTCTCATCTTGGCAAAGCTTTAACTTAGTTTTATGATTCTCTCTTAAAGGCCAACATTCAATGCCATAGAGCATTGCAGATCTCACCATCATATCTCACCATCATCTTATAACCATCATCTTATAAAATTTTCCTTATAGTTTAAGCGGTATTTTTTTATCATGCGATAGGCCCGAGGCATTCCTCAACTTCAATCAACCAACTTGAATTCTAATAACAACATCCCCATCAATATCACCATCACTTTGAACAATAGACCTGATATATCTAAAGCGTTCACACCTTTTAATAATTAGATCACCCATAGTTATATTTTTGTCACTAGAGCTACTAATACTAAAATTACATTCCATGTATTCAGTTTTAGTTCTACTCAAACGGAGGTCTTTAGACTCCAAGGTAGACCTCCATAATTCAAGTTTTTCCTAAGCTTTTTCTCTCGTCTCATACGCGAGAAGGAATCATCAGCAAAAAGCATACACCAAGGTGCATCCTCCTATAAGTGTCCAGTAAGACCATCCATAACTAAAGCAAATAGATATGGGCTTAAAGCCAATCCCTAATGTAAACCAACAGAAATAAGAAAATATATTGTCAATCCTCCTATTCGAATACAGGTAATAGTTCTTGTATACATATCTTTAATGACTTGAATACAAGTCAAATCAACACCTTTCTTCTCCAGAACTCTCCAAAGGATACCTCTTAGGACCTTATCGTAAGCTTTTTCTAAACAAATAAAAATCATACGTAGATCCTCCTTATTATCTCTGAAATTCTTCGTCAAACCTCTCAATAAATGCACAACTTCCATAGTAGACCTGCCCTTACCCTATGTTTAATTACCCTTTCTCATAATTTTATAGTATGACACATCAACTTAATGTTCCTCTATAATTGGCACTCTTGTGCATCCCCTTTATTCTTAAAAATGAGTATGCATCCTCTTTATTCTTAAAAATGAGAACCAAAATACTCTTCATCCACACCTCAGACATCTTTTTTAGTTTTTAAAATAATATTAACGAGTTTAGTAAGTCAAGAAACTCTCAAATCTCCTGAATATTTCCACAATTCAATTGAGATATCATTAGGTCTTACAGGCTTTCCACCCTTGGTTTTCTTTAAAGCCTCCTCAACTTAATTTTTACTAATGCGACGGTAAAAATAAAACATTTTATTATTATTTACGATATTAAGATCACTAAGATCGATCATAATTTCCGAGACTTCATTAAAAAATTTATCAAAATAACTCATCCAACTATTTTGAATATTTTTTTATAAGACAAGCATTTTTTGGGTTTCATCTTTAATACACTTTACTTAAGTTAAATCTTTACTTTTCTTTTCTCTTTGTTTGGTGAATTTATACATATATTTTTCATCCTCCTTAGTATCTAATCTATTATAAACTTAGTATCTAAGTATCTAATCTATTATAAAGATCATTAAAAGCAAAATTTTTACGTCACAGATTCTTCTCTTAGACTCCTTACGGGCCGTTTGATATTTTTCTCAATTCTCTAAGCTTTTAAATTTAAACCAATTTTTATAACAATTTTTTTTATATTTTATCTTTTCTTGCAAATTATTATTCTACCACCAACTACTTTTATTCATAGAAAAATTTTCTTTTGATTCTCCAAGTACAACTTTTGACACTTGTTTAATAGTTTTCGTTACTTTATCCCACATAAAATTTGCATCTTCATGAACATCCTAAATTTTGAAATCTTGAATTTTCCTCTTAAAAAGAATTTTATTTGTCTTTTATCATTTATTTTACAACTCTTCATCTTAAAATCTAAAACTAATAATCGATGTTAAGTACTTAAATCCTCACTTGGAATGACCTTACATGACCTTACAATCCTTACAATTCTTACATTCTCGACGATCTCTTCTTCCCATAAGAAAATAATTAATTAGTGTTTTATTAGAACCTTTCTTATAAATAAAAATATGTTCATCTCTTTTCTTGAATAAAGTATTAGCAATAATAAAATCATACGTCAAAACAAAATCTAATATAGTTATACCTTCTTCATTAATCACTCCAAAACCGTAGTCGTCATGATTATGTCTAAAATTTTCTGCCACTCTACCAACATGTCCATTTAAATCTTCTCTAATAATTTTTTTTTCTTCAAGGGGTATCATTTGTATTAAATCTTCTAAGTCATTTATCTTTAGAACAAATATCTAAACCAACTTGAGAAGCATAAACACTTATAATATTAAAAATCTTAGTATCAATTCATGATTATGTCTAAAATTTTCTGCCACTCTACCAACATGTCCATTTAAATCTTCTCTAATAATTTTTTTTTCTTCAAGGGGTATCATTTGTATTAAATCTTCTAAGTCATTTATCTTTAGAACAAATATCTAAACCAACTTGAGAAGCATAAACACTTATAATATTAAAAATCTTAGTATCAATAATAATTTTAAGGGCTATAATTCTATCTCCAACTCTATTAATTTTTACAACATTATCTTTTAAACTCTTATAAATTATCTTTTAAACTCTTATCTATAATTAACTACCCCATATCTAGTGTGACTCTTAATTGAATACCAAAGTTTAAAACCTAAGTTATCAATATCCTTAGTCTTTTCTCCAATCCCTTTAATTTCTTGAACAAATAAGACATTTATCTTTCTATGAATCATAATAACAACTAATTTCATTAATTTATCAATAAGAGTACCTGTGTTCCAAAATATTATCCTAATATTAGTTTCATGGACTAACTTATTTACCCGCATTCGTCCGTAATGTGGGAACCCTGTCCGTAATGTGTCCGTAATGTGGGAACCCTTGTTTATTTGACACTACAGCTGGGCGTCGATGTAGTGGCCCTTACACACTTTTAACTGTGTTCAAACCATACAGCGCGTCGCTTTCACGGGACGTCATAGCACTTACACAATGATCAAAAGGATTCTTGTCATGATTTTTTTGACAAGTTTTACGCTGACTGTCGACTACCCAACGCAACCCTCCACTTTTCACATCTAGACTTGGGGCCGACAATGGTTGTGTTATGGAAATGTTTTTTTTTTTTTTTTTTAAAAAAAAAACCAAAAAAAAATATTATAGCATCCCTGTTTTTCATTCATCG